GACCACTGTGCATCTGTCACATTTAGCAGCACCCCAGTCCCCAAGCAGCCGAAGCACAAGAACCGCAATTAAGCATTCAGGGTCTTTTAATTGCGGTGGGCAATCAACCCCGGCTCGGCGTGTCAGCTAAAGTGATGAATAGCTGGAAGGCGTCCAATTCCCGGCCGGCTCTTGGCACCCACCCGGCACCACGACAAATGGCAGTCTACGCTTTCTCACAGCAGTCAGATTAAACGTGCTCTAGTTGATTCTAGTCGCGCCTTAGTTATCCCTGTTATATGTTATGCTGCCAATCTAACGGCCAGCATGCCGTCATTGTTAATTGCCTAGTGGATGATGCTCCATACGCCGCACACCACTGTCATCACAGGATCTCAAGACCCAGCACGGAGCCCCGAAGGAACACACGCACAACCTGCCACCCTCTCACGAGGCACCAAGCAAAGACGCATGAAGTTTAATTTTCATCTGCAAGAGACAGACTTGGATTGGATCGTCCTTGCATCCTCCCGTCTAGTCCAAACCTTGGTCTTTCTGTGTGTCGATAATCAATCTACCCGGAAGTCATGACTTGACGTAGACCGGTCCAGGTACATCATTTGAGAGTTTACACCCTTACTTGGACATGGCTATCAACCATCCATCCGCCCATTACCCCTTGAATCAGAGAATAAAAACCCTCAAATTGATGCTAGGGTTATCCCACAAACCCTGATATCGGAAATTAAATGCGCCAGCAAGTACTGTGTTGAATGCTGGCATACCCACCAGAACCACCCGGATAATTTCTTTCCTTATCCATACTCATTTCCAGCTGCACGGGATACGCCATATGGGAAGTTAGGAGCTGCAGACAGGAAGAAAGGTAGCACAGAACGAGGGACGTCAAATTTTGCATGCAATAACAGGTCTTAAACTGCACAAGCCGTGCATACGCAGCAAGTAAGTAGAGTCCGGCCCACCCGGAGCGGACGGACAGATAGACGGTAGGAAGGTTTTTATTTTTTTTTTTTTTTTTTGATCGGCACGTTTTGGTTGGGGATGAGCGGGATGGTGATCATGGTGGCTGGTTATGGTTATCTACACACTAGACAAACACAGCAAACTGAATACCAGTATCTACGGAGTACACCGTAGAAATCAAGTAAGATACATCTAATTTTAATTTTATCTCAATTTTTTTTCTCACTAGTTTCACCTGTCTTAATTCCTTATCCGCAAGTTTATGGAGCCGTGCACTAGCTAAGCATGTAGACAAGTCAAGCAGGGAGGAGACATGTCCGCTTAGTCAAGAAGTCAGAAAGTCTCTTAGATTAACTAAACTATCCATCTAGATGAATCCTAACTAGTCAGTTCACTTGTCACCTTACTTGACTTGCCAACTAGTACGTAGTAAGTTACTTAGTTAGCAAGGCTTGGCCTGGCCTATTTGTTCGTTTGTTTCTCCTCAGCCAGCCGCACTCTATCCTTCCCCCATTTAGCCAAGATAACCCATTCTACTCATAGAATAGTACGGTACTTGTGTCTCATATAGGATAAAAAATAGAAATAAACCCAGAAAAAAAAATTAGAGCTAGATAGCTACGCACGTAGTGAGAAGTAAAACAAAAGAAATGCCGACCCAAGCGCTCCCCCCACAACAAGACACAACACAAGAACAACCAAACTAAACTAAGTGGCAGTAGCCCGCCCGTCAATCCATTTCCCATCCAGGCGCAACCCGAACCCTAATTGCAAACCGTAGTATGTCTCACCTGTAGTCAGGTCACGGTCTACTCTAGTTGGCTGGTTGGTTGGTTTGCTTTGGGTGTCGGTCTGGGTTACTAGTTTTAATTTTTTTTCTCATGTTTATTTTTAATTTTCTCACTTGCTTAGCTTTTGGTTCCATTTTTCTACTCTCGCTCTTGTTTGGTTTTTGTGTTCTTGATGCTAATTTAAGCATATGCTATTATAGTCTGTCGGTACCGAAGTAACTAACTACTGTACTACTGACTTAGATTGACTGGCTTTTGTGGGTATTTTGGGGAGGGAGTATGGAGAGTTACTATAGTATGGTGGTTTACTTGGTACTGCATGGCAGTGCATGATTCATTTAGTCTTTCACAAACTAAAGAGGTAGAGAAAACATCTAGTCGGATATATCTGGTGGTTACCACATCACACGTCCCATCATCCTAGCTTCAAACAAACAATTAGCCACACATTTCCAATGTATCAATTTCTCCATCTCCCCCTAATACCATATACTACTATGATCGTTATCCTCAACCCCTCCAAGCATAAAATCCCCAAACTAAGAAAGTACAGCCGTTGCCCCGGTGTGGCTGTGCACTGCCCTACCGAGCTACGTCCCTCCCGAATTCCAACCAGTAAATACCCTCCATCCATCCATCTATCACAAAGTAAATCAGGGGCTCGTGAAATGCGGGATAGGTCCGAAACATATTAACCTAAAAGTGGCTCCTTAGCAAAAAGCAGACCAGTAGTCTACTGATGGATGAATACTACCTACTATCCTACTAGGTAATACCGGAGGTAGTTCTACTTCTGATCATAGAGAACAGACCAGAATAGTTGCTGCAACCCAAAACCTCGGGACGAGCAGTGTGGAACTGGGCTCCAATTTACTTGGACAGAGCGTCAACGGCGTTCTCCGTATATACCAGTAACCTAGCTGAACTTCCATGTGGCTACTAGATGTCTATCAGGAGGAGTAGTGATGTGCATGATGTTTTACAAAGTACAAGTGGGTAGGTGGATAGCATGGTTTCCTACGGAGTAGATGGATATACTCCGTACCTAGTAGTAGTAGTAGCTATGTCTGATACAGAGTATATACCAACCCACCAAACCTTGGAACAAAGTACTAAACTAGTCTGTACCAGTTAACACCCACCTAACTAACTAACATTAGATGGTATCTATGTGCTAATTGAAGAAAGAAAAAGTGGCGTATGCCTCAGCTTGAAACATCTGCGCCACTTACTTCTCCATATTCACTCCGTTATTCGGAGTTACTATTATGTTATGAGATGGGATGGGGTACGGAGTATCCGGGATTTTTGCTCGTGCACACACTCTGGCCGGGATCTCCTTCTTCTGGAGGATGTGCCGACAGGGCTGCTTCACTAGTCGCTTTGCAAAGTATGTCTGGTTGTGGCTGTCTGTCTGTGTCACACGAGGCTCAGTGTCGTCCCGGGACGGATGCAGTGCACGGGCGAGATGGTAGCCAGTTGACAGGTTTGGGTTTTAGATGGTGGGAGTAAGGTTTGGATAGGTAGATTGACTGCCTCGTGGGTGTGTACTACGTTTGGGATAAGCATGTTGGTACTATTAGTACTTTAGTAAGTACTAGTATTTTATATGTCAAATTTCCATGCTGGATAGATATATATCCTAGGCAGGTTACTAGTATAGCGATATTACTACGTAGTATCATCATACTTCCAGATCATAGATCTCATTATTTCCGGGCTATGCCCTACTACACAATCGAGTCTACAGATAATTCGCTGAGCATCCCTAGTTCCCACGTTATGCTTTAGTGGTAGTAGTGGCGGCTATTCTCACCCCCATAGCGCAGCCTCTATCGTATATAGCCTTTAATACTCAGGCTATTTAGTGAGACATGGGCTATCCATTCGGTAAATGCACTCTCCTCAACCATGAACTTACCATCAAGCTGAACACCTCAACAAAAGTGGGATATCCAAATCCCACATACCAAGTCCGTAAATCTTGCAGTAGCTCATCCATACTCAAACGTATCCCCCCCTAGGACTAGGATCACCAAGACCCATAGAACATAGACCCATACCTCCCTACTACTACGTAGCAGACTAGTAAGTAGGCATATGCACTGCATCCATCCCAAACCCCCTATTCACCACCCACCCCACTACCAGCTGAACAAAGTTTCTGGGATGTGATTCACTCGGATCCCGAGGAAACTACAATAATCTCCAAAGATTGACCACCCTATCCCATCGCGTACCTCTCCTTTTCGGACCCGGAGGAAACCCTCACTAGCGAGCGATGATCACCAAACCAAAGGATGGAGATATTGATGGAGAGGGGGTTGGAAGATCCAAAGGAAGCACCGCAACCGTATCCAATCGAGAAAATCAGAAGCATGCCCGATCATCCCATCCTGTAGGAAAGGAGGGGCAGGGGGAAGAGAAGGGAAAATCCCTATTCCAGCATTAATGCGCTAGTTACCACCTGACACTGACTCGGTCAGTCAGCTGATCCGGTCATCTTCGCTTTTTGCTAGTTAGTGTTTTGTTTGCTGGGCTTTCTGGTCATACCCCATCTCGGTCCATTCTTCGACGTACGTCAGTTAGCCAGCAATTTGTGCTCACGCACAAGTGTCTGGCACTTGTTCATTCTATCTACCACGTACAACTTCGCCGTTATGGAGGGGAGAGGTTAGGGTCATGCATTGTGACGCAGGTGTGTGTGTCTTATCAGCCTAACGGTGAGATACTGGCTGGGGAGGGCCATCCTTAACCCTGTTTCTTCGGATCCGGGAGCTAACAACGTGCAATGGGTGGCGCTTGAGTAGTGACATCCGGTCTAGTGGACATCATCCTGGAATTTCAGACTTCGCGCTGCATGGTCGAAGCCTATCCTGCATCCCGCACGGCGTACGCTATCCAACCAGCCCTTAGACTATGCAGGTCCTCTCCGCTGGTCGAAAATACCAGAAACATGGCCAGTCAGAGTCGTAGCCGGGCCTTTCGTGCTGGGACGGCGGATTCAATGGCTTTGAAAACTAGCCAGGGAATGATTGGATTGTCTATGGGTCGTTGCCAGAAATAGGATCGGTAGCAACACCAGATGGTCATCCCGGTTTTGGTAGCATGTCTCACTCAACCCGCCACGGCTGCTGCAAGCCTGTGGGACTTGACCGAGCTTTCATTCAGTGCTATCTATTTCGGAGATGACTACCAGAAAGCAGGACAGTCCCTGAAATGAGAAATTCGCCCACGGGAATAATATCAAAATATTTCGGCGCTCTCCTCCACAGACCGACTATAGCAGAGAGGAAACAGTGCCCCCCAAAATCGATACATGCCCCAGTGATTCTCCTTTTCTGAAACTAGTCTTCGAGCAAATGTGCATTCCGTCCGAAACGCGTTCGTACTGCGCAGGTGGACAATCTGCTGACATCAGAGCTGGGTCACTATTCAATCCCGACGGGTTGACCACTCACCTCGTCGTATCTCTGTAGAGCCGAGTAGTACTGCACCGAGAGCCCATAATTCTTTCTCAGTATCGGCTTTCTGATCCTCCTCGCAGCCGTGGCCAAGATGCGTGACTGTCTCTCACGGCTCAAATGGATGTGATCACCGACAGCGACCCCTCCTGGTAACTTCCAATTTTGTCGCTCGTAGACAACCTCGACCAGCCGGGTAAGCGTGTCAGCCTGCCATGTGGTCAAGAGCTCATTATGAAACGCCCTAACGTGGCGCTGGAGCTTTGACAAATCGGTTTTGAGTCGGAATACATTGGAGCGTAGCATGCTCATTTTATGGTCCAGGTTCTGATTGCTGACATTCAACAACTCAAGAGCCGAGGAGTATCTCTGAATAGACATCAGCATTGGTGCCGCAGACACAATGTACACCCAGCTGCCTATTTGGTGAATGTTCTGGAGCTGACACACCGATAGTGAGGACAATTTCGCCTTTCCTACAATACCATTCTCTTTCGAAGACGACAACTGAATCTGCGACCGATAAAAGGACATCCCAGGTCCATATAGGGTGAGAATATCGACATCCATTTCGCCGAGTCGAGTATGATGCGCTATCTAAACAAACAATGAGGGTTCAACTATCCTTGGATATGAAACGATAAACGAGCTGGTGGCCTGAAAGCTAGGGAGTGGTGGTGATGAAGCCCAGAGGCTTTGGAGTCAACTCTGAGGGGTTGCGACGTGGAGGCAAACGGATTACCTGGCGCAGGGAAGGTGCGACTACACACTCAGGCTGCTCTGGGAAGTACCGCTTAATCGTGTCTATTGCGTTCCTCATAATAAACACAGTCACAGAAGAAAGCTAACGTCTGATAATGATATCTGCATCACAGTTTGCTTCCAGAGGTTTTCCCGAATTCAATCACCAGCTTCCCGAATTGCTTCCCTTCCTTCATATCCTGAAAGATTCCATCGATCGCAGGGATATCCTCCAGGTCAGTCTGCAAAACGCGTGAGATGACTGGATGAATTTTGTGCGTCTTGATGAACTCGACCATCTCCTTGAACTCCTTCCGCGACCCCATCGTACAGCCCCGAACATCAATATTCTTGAGAACAGCCTTCATAGAGAAGGGCATCTGCGGTGCGACCGTCATACCATACACACAGAGAGCACCACCAGGCTATTCCAGTCAGATATTGTCCATACGTACTCAGATAGCGAGAGGGGGGAGAGGTCTGCTCACCTTAAGCAACTTGACAGCCTTGTCCACCGAATCCCCTCCTGCCCCGTCAATAATCGCATCGAAAGCCACTTTCCCTGTAGGCAACAACTCCAATAACTTCTGCTCCCACTTCTCCTGCTTGTAATTCACACCTCCCTTAGCCCCCAGCTCAATTGCTTTCCGAATCTTCTCCTCACTCGAGCTCGTCACATAGACATCCACGCCCCTAGCCACCGCAAGCTTGAGCGCCATCAATGCCACGCCACCTCCAATGCCAGTCACCAGGACTGCAGCTCCCTTGCTCGAATTCCTCTCTCCAGCCTTGACCACCAGCGCTCTCCACGCTGTCAAGCCAGTAAGCGGAAACGACGCCGCCTCTGCATCCGACAAATGCTCCGGCACCTCTTCCAGCTCTCCTTCATCAATGGCGAGATACTCCTGCATCGTCCCCTTGTTGTACGACTTTGTCCCGCCCATGATCCTGTACCCTTTCGGATCTTCTGGTCCATCCAGAGACTCCTTCCACCCTACTCCGGGGTTGATGACCACCCGCTTCCCGATCCAGCGTTGCGGATCGCGCACTCCTTCACCGGCAGCTATCACGGTTCCTGTACCGTCGGCACCCATGGGAACGTCAAAGGTGACGCCCGGATAGAGGTGTTGACGAAGGAACACATCGCGGTGATTTAGCGATGTAGCTGTGAGCTTTACCAACACTTCGCGACCCTGAGGTACAGGCTGGGGAAGGGTCTTCACAGCGAGGGGGTAGTAGACTTGACCCGGCTTTCCGGGTTTACCATCGACTGGGTTAAGGAAGACGGCTTTCGACATTATGGCGTGAATTTCTAAGATATGTACTTGTTAGTTTGAGCTGTAGATAGAGAGACGGAATTTTTCAATTTGAATATATGTAGAGTGAAACTAGGAAAAGATGGAGCATGCATGCACTTATCGGTTCGGTTCGGCGTGCGGGGATGAGGTGAGCTGTTTAGGCCGTTATCGGTTGCCGAGGATGTGCGTCGGGAAGAGACATGAAAGTTGCTTGCGGTGAAGATCTACGCAGCATATGATATTGACCGGACTAATCTTTAGAACAGGAACACTTAAGTTTGTGTTAAACTTTGCTGGTTCTCACATAGTACAACTCAATTGTTACTTGCAATTAACGTTACAAACCTTTTTTCCAACAGTAATAATAGTGATATATACTTGAGCCTCGGCTGAGGGGACTTGGATTAGTACCAATATCGAACAATGATTACAATATATAACTGCCACCAACACACCAACACACCAACGGTACTTACTCATCAAAGGGAACAAAAAGTGATACCCATGATCAATGACAATGTATATCACCACGATTTGTCTGCCACAAAATCAGACTAAATCAAGCCAGTTGGGATTGCCACCCCTACCTCATTAGCCAGGATGATGCCATGATCCTGTTCCAATATATACAAGTCTAGCTTGGTAGCTTACCGGCAGAGCGCACCCTGATCGAGATGTCCATTGAAGCGTTTTGATTATTGATTTTAAGTCGTAAGGTGAACGTGTACTGTGCTCGTCTATTTGTTATTACAACTTGACTTTGAAAGTGCATCCACATCAACGGAATATGCTGTAGTTGGGCTATAGTACATTCTGAGACTACAGTATAAGGTAACATATATTGTCGTTTCTCCTTTAGGCAAGATAAAGAGGGGGCTGAGCCATTGACCATATCATAAATTGGCTCTAGGAGTGAAGGAGAAGGAGAATCACTTATTGCTAAAATGTCAGTGAAGCGGAAAAGACATACTTACTATGAAAGATAGATGGTATTGCAGATGGCCTGCCATCTGAGAGCTGCTGTTGCCTTGCTGGATCCCGATTTTAGACCGAGCGGAGAGGAGGATCGTGAGTCTGTTGAGGTTTCATTCCCAGAAACATATCAATTGAATTGATTGCAGCCCCTTTGGGATTGTGGAAACGGTGATGAGCGCGAGATGTGACTGCATATCTTGCCAAGGCGTACTATGGTGGAATATAGTGGATGCTGTCTTGTTAAGGCCTGTCGATAGCAGCTATGTCATGAATATATATGGATGCATCTGAAGCTTTTTTGTTGACCTCGACACAAGTTGGTGCTAACGAGTACACTGATTGTACTATATTATCATGTTAGATGGTTCTTGAAACGCTGCGGCTTTGGTTCGCCGATCTTGTTGGGTTCTGTTTGCAATTAAGTGATTCTGACCGCTGTCATTGTCAGTTATAATATTGATCTGCGAGAGTACCGTAATTGGCAGTTGATAGATCAGCATTCTGTTTGGAGGAATGGTGAACTGCGGGAGATTGTTCGCGTTCGTCTGGAATGCACAGCGGCTCTATCCCTACACAGTATGTGTTCGCGCGATTGCAGTCCACATGAGCTCTGGTCTTATCATCCCCACTGTTAATTAATGGTGAAGATACTTATGATTGAGCATCAAACTGTCAATGACCTGTATATTGGCAGTGGATGATACGTTAGCAGAAACAAGCCACAGGCATCATCCATGTAGATTTTGGATTAAAGGTCGTACAAGAAGCCGATGGCTGTGCAAACATGTCTATCCCCAGCACTGCAGGCAAACCGGATTGTTGCAGATCGAGGATTGCGATGTTGTGTTGTACTGACTGTTGATGATTGCTTGTTAAGTAAAGCTGCGATGGGATACGTGCCTCAGGCCGCAGAGTGGAGGTTGGGGTACGGTACGGATGGAAGTCACTGGCAAGTCACTGGCCACCTATTTTAGTATGTGGGTGTACCTGGCATGTACGTTGGCCGTATGGTATGTATGGGGCTGGTAAGGAAGGTTGTTCTTCAGAGTGACGACACTGACTTCTTCTCCCACACAATTCATTGATGATGCCTTACATTATGCAGTGCTGAATTACCTGCCTACTAGCTTTGAATAGTATATACAATGAAAAGGTGAAGGCAGGGAGTTGGAAGCTGGCTAACCACAATACTATGTAAATAGCCCGACCCTCAAAAATTTTTTGACATTCTAAAAATACCCGGGGGAGAGCTTCCTCTCCATCCCAGTGGAATTTCTCTGACGTTGAGTTGAAGCGACACGTCGAGAGAAACCAAAGCGTTTGCGGCCAAACCACCAGTGACGGTGTCGGCGTGGCAGTAACCCATCGTAGGTTTGTCTGGGGATGTTATGGCCACGCACTGTCCCGGAAATGCACCATCAAACTCCAGGTTTGGGGGAATCTTGGGATAACTGGAGATAGTCGGGTCAAATCTGACCTGTCACCTGTAGACTGAAATTAATTGCGATGGGCAGCTTGCACCACATGTAAGGCTGAGGATGAGCTATCTATCTATACCCGACCTTCCCTGGAAGCTATCCAGCGAAGTAAAAAAAAGAACAGAAACCAGACCACCAATTTGTGCGGCAGTTTCACAACCAGTGTGGGCTGAGGTAATAATAATAATAAACCAATTGCGGTCGCACAAGGCGATCTGGCGGTACGACCAAAAGCGCGAAAACGAAGTAAAAAACACAGAAAAAACAACGAAAACAGTCACTTCGTCACGTCCGTCACGACCCGTACGGTGGTAATTCCACGGCCACCAGCTAATTCGCCGCAAGCCTCTTCATTTTTCTTGACCTGCCAGGAACTCTCGATCCTTTCGATCTTCTGATCTCGACTCTGGATCGTCTAGCGTTCTTGTTTTCGACCTCGACTCTCAATCCGCCCCCGGCTTCTTTCCAGATCTCTATCCCAAAGACACAAAGGTGTGTTCTTTTGCTTCCCCCCCAATCGTCTTACTGTCCTCCTCCACCTTGCTGTCTGCCTCTCTCCCCCTCGCTGATCCGTTCTCCTCACCAGCTCTACGGACTGCTGCTTGTCTCCAACCCACCCTTCCACATCTTCCCCCAGAAAAAACGTTCGCATCGCTCCTTTTTGTTTTACAATCTACGGTTTTTAACTTAACCTTCCTTCTAGATTCTCGTCTCCCCGAACTTCTCTCTTTTTCCCAACTGGACCGGCATTCTTATCGTCCGTCGCCCAGCTACCGACCTTCATAATGCCCACGCCACTTCCGTCTAGTTTTGCCTCGGCCGCCGCTGGCAACACCCACGACTCCTCGAACAGGAGAGGGGATGGCTCTGCCGGTGGAGAATGGTACGCAATGCTCTTTTAACTGGTTCTATGCGGTCTACCCGCTGCTTTGGCCGCCGTCCTAGTCCCTCCCGGCGGTTTTGCGTGGCGGAGTTGAACTGACAACTCATCCTCAACCGGGGACATGCAGGTCTCGAACTCGCATGAATGGAGCAACACAGACTTTCCGCCGTCCGTCCGTTGCGACAAACCCTTCTCATAACCGGGATGCCAGCCAACCCACGTCGGCTACCACTCCCACCGTGGGCACCTACACTCCTCCGCATATGTCCTCGACCTACCAGTCCAGCGCACTCCGCAACGGAGCAGCTACCGACACGCGTTATTCAAAGGATCAGCTACTTAGTCTCTACAAAACCCAACGAGAGTCGGGCGTACTGGGGAAGAATGTTGCAGATTACTTCGTAGCTGACTGGAATCCCCACGAGACGTCACCTGTCAACGGCGCTTGGGGGAAACGGGAAGATTCGAAGGATAACCCCTCCGGCCCAGAAGTGTGCTGGGATCATGGGGGCCAGGTCGAGCCGTTGGGCCTGGTAGATATGACGGACGATGAGAAAGAGGTTTGTCTCTTTGCTTACCCCGCCTTGCTTGCTGCTTGAGCGTGTTTGTGCTTTAAAATTTTTTCCGGGAGCCGTGCTGAAGGAGCGCAGTTATTTACTCTCTCCGTCAACTCCCCCCTTAAGCCGCCACCGACGAACGCTTCGAAGGAGAACGCTGGCGCCGGTACTGGTGGACGCAAGCTGTCCATCTCCCAAGGCCATATGAATAATTACAACACCGCATCCCCCAGTGCTGGGCGCCCCGGCCCCAGACGCCGGGAGACGGGCGACTCGACTGGGAATCCCATGTCTCCCACCACCAGCGGCTCTCGCTTTTTCCGTGACGAACCGAACACCTCCACCCCGCCCCCCTCCCTTTTGCGCCGCAAGACCGATTTCCGAGATACCTCTTCCGCCGCCCGATGGGAGGAGAAGGAGAAGGAAAACGTCGCCCGAGACGCAAACGCCGAGACTGCCTCTCCATTTGGTTCTCTGAAGCGGAGTTCGACCAATCCTTTGAGCGCGGCACCGGGCGCTTCGAATTCCCCTTGGGGATCTGCGTCGCAAAGTGCCAACTTTTCACCCATGGGAGCGTTTGGTGCGTTTTCTTTGGGCACGGCAACTACCCCGACAACCGAAAAGAAGGCTGGGTTTGGTAGTCTCCGCGGAGAGAGCCGTTTGAAGGGGCTGTTTTCGAAGGATAGCTCTGAGGACATTTCGGCCTCTATCAAGGAGAAGTCGTCCCTTAGTAGCTTGGAACGCTTGGGTGATACGGAGGGTGAGAAGCGTGCTCAGTCGCCTTGGGGGGAACCCGTCAAGACGCGTACTGGCCGCAGCGAGACGAACCCCTTCTCGGAGGAGCCTCGCAGCGGAAGTGCCGCTCTTGGCGGGTCCCAGGAGATCAACACTCCTTCTCAACCTGCAGACCAGCTGGGATTCTCGGCTTTCGGCATGACCTCTAGCATCCCTGGATTCCGGGAATTGATGCAGAGCCATGAGAACTCGCGCAACCCTACTCCAAGTCTGTTGCAGGGACATGAACCCACCAGCCCCACCAATACGAACCCATATCAGAGCCCCCACGGCGACCGAAGTGGTGGTGTTGGTGTTGGTGGCGGCGACGAT